CCAGAAAGCAAATCGTATTCTGGGCTGCATCCAAAGCAGCGTGGCCAGCAGGTCGAGGGAGGTGATTCTGCCCCTCTACTCTACTCTTGTGAGACCCCACCTGGAATACTGTGTTCAGCTCTGGGGTCCCCAACACAAGAAGGACATGGAGCTGCTGGAGCAAATCCAGAGGAGGGCCACGAAGATGATCCGAGGGCTGGAGCACCTCTCCTATGAAGACAGGCTGAGAGAGTTGGGGCTGTTCAGCCTGGAGAAGAGAAGGCTCCGGGCTGATCTTATTGCAGCCTTCCAGTACTTAAAGGGGGCCTACAGGAAAGCTGGAGAGGGACTTTTGACAAGGGCATGTAGTGATAGGACAAGGGGCAATGGCTTTAAACTGAAAGAGGGGACGTTTAGGTTGGATATAAGGAAGAAATTCTTCACTGTGAGGGTGGTGAGGCAGTGGAACAGGTTGCCCAGAGAAGTTGTGGATGCACCATCCCTGGAAGTGTTCAGAGCCAGGTTGGATGAGGCTTTGGGCAACCTGGTGTAGTGGAGGCTTTCCCTGCCCATGTCAGGGGAGTTGGAACTGGATGATCTCTAAGGTCCCTTCCAGCCTAAACCGTTCTGTGATTTTCTGACTTACTCAGCCCAATTAAAAAAAAAAATAAAGTGTAACAAGGATATGGTTCACTATTCTCTTGATATATTGTCAATCAAAAAGGCTACAATTCTTTCCAAACATCGGATGTGAATTTGTTGTATTTGGATATGTGAGGTTTTTATGTTTTTAAAGCTGGATACTTCAGGCATTGCACACAGCCTCCTTTGACTGTTTCCTCAGAATAACGAGGAACCTCTTGCAACTGCTGTGCTGGGCTGTGCTTCTTTTGCATAAGTCTGGTGGAAAGCCTGATCTTGTATTTTAGAGTCACAGCAAGAGACCATGGCCTTGGTCCAGCTACAGCTCTTAAATCTTAAGTGAAGAGAGTTAGAGACATTGCTGGCTGAAGAACAAATGGGCGACAGCTAACTGAACTGACGTGGCATAGAAATGGGAAGATCAGCAAGTTGGGTTCTCGAACAGTTTTCATCAAATAGTGTAAGTTAGATAGTAAATGTACATAGTTTTAAGATGGAGCTTCATTGCTTTAAGAAAGGATTGTATAACATGTTTTTGCAAGAATAGAATTGGATTTAATAAGTCAGGGTTCCTTTTCAGGATTTGTGTTACATGAAGACAGTTTGAACGATTGACCTCTGTAACCTATTTCATCCAACAGCACTGTCTTAAGGTAAAAGCCTGCCCTGTGTTCACGCTGAGGAAATGGAATTATGTACATTAGTTTTAATCCTGCTGATAACTAGAAATATTTTGTACTACCTGTTCCTCTTCACTACTTTGTGGAATTAAATGTAAATCTTATATGTGAGGAAGCTGGTGTTGCTGCGTGCTCTTAAATGTTTCACAAATGTGCAGTATATGTTGTCGTAAAAGGATAAGGATGAAGGAAAAAATGAAAGTGCTAAAACTGTGTACGGCAGAGAAGGTGATCGCTCACTCCTGGTGCTGTTCATTGCTAGAGGCCCCACAGAGCCTTACTGAACCCCAGCCGAAGTCAACGGAAAGGTTCCTGTCGACTTTATGGGAAGTTTATGACCATCAACACTAAGAATGATAGAGATCTTTAAGATTATCTTGTCTCTCCTTCTGTTTAAACTGGTTTGCTTTTTTGCACTGTCTTTTTGCTTATGATTTATGCTGGATTTCAGGACTTCAGTATTTCAGCATAGTGTCAGAGATGAGCTTCCTTGGAATAAGAGTTTCTGTCCTGGAAGTGCCCCGTAGCTCCGCAGTGAGACAGGGAACTAACGGTGAATCTCTCCTGCATCGTGTTTTTCCGCTGCCTGGTGTGCCTGTGAGCTGGGATGGATTGAGAGCGCGGGTGGGCAGTGTTATCCTCCCGGGGAGCGCTAGGATGCGGGCCGAGGCGTGGAGCTGTAGGTGCAGAGCCTGGCTTTGGCGTGAGTTCAGCTGCCTTTTGTTGCACGGTGCCAGCCCCTTGGTGCTTGGTGAGGGACGGACGTGCTCCGCTCACGCCAACTCCACATGCCACCTGCGCTTGCAACACACGGGTGACTTTTTGACCTTGTTTTTCGAGGGAAGGATTGAGTCATTTACGTGTTTATTTGTGATGCGTGTGAGATGGAGGTAGATTCTCGTTCTGATTCTTTCTCAATAGCAGTTTTTAGCCCCGAAGTCCTCTGGGTATGAGGGTTTTTTCCACTTCCACAGCGGAGTGCGTAGTCCTCTCGTGGTAGTGCTGTGTTGGCAGAGCACCCAGAGCAGAACGAAACACTTTGACTGAAATGAAACAGTTTTGTCTCTGCGTGTGTCTGACCTTTGAATAGTGAAGGAGGGTGTCTTCAGCTGCTCAGCTGCCGGTAGGACTGTTACAACAACGGAAGTCAGGGATTTGACCCAGGCTTCTACTTCTCTTTTGAATTATTTGCCTCTGAAACCATCAGGTGGAGCTGGAAATATGATTTGCACTTGTCATCGTGTGTCCCTAACTTTCCCTAACAAGTTTTATTTGTTAATTTAGAATGCAGAGATGAACCTTTTAACTTTACTCTGAAAGCAAATATTGACTTTGTTTCATAGTAATCTGGACTTTGCACAGGACGGGAAAAGCCTGACATTCCTGAAAATGGCAGCTGAGACATCCAAAGAAGTTCCAAAAACTGCTAGACAATTCGTCCTTAAAGAAGAGGTATCTCGTGCTTGGTTTTGACACGTTTTGTTGTTAAATAACCATTATTTGAGACTGATGAGAATGTTTGTGATTGCAGAGTGAGAAATGTTGTAGATGCTGTATGTTTGTCGAATCTGGTCAATAGACAAAACACTTCTTCCTGATGGTCAGGGAGTTTTAAAAGGTGGCATTTCTCTTTGTTGAAATAATCCTACAAATTATCAGTGGGGAGAGAGAAATCTGCAGTGTTGCATTATTTTAAGCTTTTTTTAATTTATTTATTTTGCAACTGTTTCTTATATTGTCTGTTGAGGCTGTTTCCAGTGTTCAGAAATAGTGCTGATACCTCTGAGAGACTAGGGAAATGTGTCCATCATGAAACTCAGCATTGTTTCCATCCCTTTAGGGTGAACCCCTAAGTGCTGCCTTAACAGTTAGGATTGTACCTTCTCTGATGCTTTCTGAAAGGTTTTGAATTTAGACAATTGCTGTTCTAAAGACATTAGTAAGGAGGTAGTAAGATTTTTAAAAAAAATATTATGTACCCATCTTCACAGAATCAGAAAATATGAGGTCCTGAGGAAGGAATTTGGAGGTACTTCTGGGTGCTTATTCGGAGCACTTTCACCCTAATTTAAACTGCCTATATTTGTTTCTGTTATCTTTGAAGTGAGTTCTTAAAAGTTAATGTTTGGTGTTAAAGGCAGGTTTGGCAACAGCCTCACACTGTTGTTAGAACACAAATGTAGTTTCTTTTATCCAGCATTCCGTCCTTGGAATGAACAGAGTGTTGTAATTTCTTTAAGTTTCAAGGTACAAAACTTTTTCAGGAAAGAAGATACTCGCATTGTTGGGATATATTTATGGCTTTTCCCCTTGCGTGGTGTTTTAATATGAATTATTTCTGAAGCATACAGAGTTTCGTTTTTGTAAGCTTTTTGGATTTTCTATTAAGATCTGTGGTTTTGCAGGTAACGTTTTCATTTTATCTGCTTTTTTATTTTTTCTTAAGGCCTCTTCCTTCTCCTTTGGAATATTGTAGTCTTTGGTGTGACTGGAAGTTTGTAATTAGATCTTACGTATTTTAGGCTCTTTAGCTTTTTCAGTCCTTTTGTGGGATTAATACAGGAGAGCGTTTACCGAGCCTCTGCCAGTGGCCCTTACATTGAAAGTGGTTCTGTAACTCTTCAGCAACGGTGTGGTCTGATGTTGGAATATCTTCTTTCATGAAAGCAGCAGCTGATCTTATTTCCTTCTTCCGGTTTCTGGGAAGCCGCGGTCAGGCTTTGTAAGCAAAAGGAGATGTTATTTGCCTAGCAATAGATAAAAGAATCAAATTAAATCGTTTTGAAACTGAGTATGGCAAGTGCAACACATCCTGCAAAGTGTCCTTAGGCCCTAAACAGGGGTTTTAGCAAAGCAGAAGTTTCTGAGGCAGCTTCCACAGTTTTCATTGTGCACCCAACAAGGCGGATGACAATAAACTTCTCTCTTTCTTCTAGGGAAACCTGGCAGCTTCCAGTTTTCTCACCCTGTAGGCTGTTAGCAGCAAGGGTTTCACCAAACTTTCCAGAATCGTGGAACACTTCCATTGTAAATATTTATGCTACATGTCCTACAGTTTTTTTAATTATTGTTCCGTGGCAGTAGAGGCCAAAAGCTGTACTTGAGAATATCTGATTAAAAACAAGCCACTTTGTTTGATGTTTGTATTGTACACATAAAACCTCCTTTCTTTTTCTTTGTTTTTTTTTTTTTTTTCTTTTGTCTGTTTGGAGCTCAGACAGGTCTAATTTCTTACAGACTAGGGATTTCTTTTTCCTCTAAGATTCCTGGGGCCAGCGATGTGGTTTTGGTTTGAGCCATTTTCCCCTTCCTGCGTAGCAAACGATAACTCAGTGACAGGGGTGCTGATCTACCAGTTCTGTTGAATGCTGCAGCAATATGGGACCACGATTAATAATCTAGTCCTTTATGTTCTTGGCAATGTTTAAAAAAATTCATTAACACAAAACATTTGGCTGTGTTTACTTAACTGGAGTATATTTTTTCCTCTCCTTGGACAACCAATGGAACATGATTTTCATCTGTTTCTCTTTTGGATCTTCCTGTACTCTAGTTCCACAGTGATTTAGGAGTGAATGCAAAGCTATTTAAAATATACCTGAATGCTTCCAAACAGAATTACCTCTTGTACTTGTAATGACTATAACATACTTCATCTTCTCCTTTCCTGCTGTTTTGGGGACCACAGTGCCATTAGAAAGCCCTTTTGAGAATACATAGCTCTCTTTTCCAATTCCTGTTACATGGGAAATATTATACTTTCCAAAATAAATGCCAAAACTCCTACATGTACAATACGTGTAGCCACATGTACAACCATAGGAGTGCTATTGTTATTTCAATTGCCTATCAAAATAATTGTTCTGAAGAACACATAGTAAGAATTACCTGAGTTCATCCAGCTCAGTTATAATTTACTGGACACCTGAATCATTTCTGATTTGCCTTCTGCCTCCAGCTGGTGCTGTGCTGTGCTTCTGTGCTGCGTCATATACTACATTTCATTTCTCTGTATTGTGTTTTCAGTTAGTGAATCGTTCACTTTTAAGTTCAAGATCTACGTGGCCACACAGGCCCTGTTTATTTCTCATCCTGCTCTAGAGGATTGTGGCCAGCCACATGAACGACCTCTCAGACTTCTTCCTTTGCTGCAATTTGATGTTGTGGGCTTTTTGCTCCGTTGCTGTCAGCAGTGTGTCTCATTAGATGATAGGAAGTGATTTGTTCATCTTACTGATTACTTCAGATTTCTGCAGTCAAACCTGTGGCCAACTTGATAGAAAATTCTGGAGACAAGCTTCTGGTCTGCCTACACCTTTAGCAAAGCTTAAAATACAAGTTGCATTAAAAGAAGTGAACTTCCAGGCTAGTACCTAGGGATTTTTCTCTTTTAAAGGAATTATGTAAAAGACTAAGAAACATCACAGGGCAAATAAACTCATTTAGTTCAGAAAAGACATTTTGTAATAATGTTAGTGCCAAGCACTCAATCAGCAGCTCTCAGAACTCCTGAAAGGGCAGGTTACAGAAAACAGTGGTCACACAAAGCCACAGTCTGACTGAGATCACGGCAAGAAAAGTTTCCAAATAGTTTGGTTTTCAGTCTTGCCTGCTTAGCTGTTAGCCCATCCTCTCTGATACGTGGGCACTTGTAATCACCAGTGCAGACCAGTGATCCTTTTTCAGCTGAAACATGACCCTTGCAAAATCCTTCTAGAAAGATAAGGACTTTCCAGTCCATACAATCCTACTGAATTCATTGAAACTTGGTTATAAAAGTCACATTAAGAAAAGTTACTAGGCTTGTTTTCTATTCCTATTCAAGAAGTTGGAGTAAATGTTTTTTTGTGTATTAGCTACAGAAATGTTGTTGCATGCTCCTGCATGTATTGTGATGCCGATATTATGTCTTCAAAAGAATCCAAAAATAGTTGTGTTGTTTCTCCCCTTACTCCCTAAATATCTTTGGGATTAGTCTTATAATATATTTAATAAATAATTCTTTATTTTAGGTAATAGTAGAAAGAAAATGGTTGAAGCTTGAAGAAACAACTTATACGGATCCCTTTGGTAAAACCAGGTAATTGCCTCTCTGGCCTTTTGGATCCCTATAACTTTCCCGATTGTATGGAGTAGCCCCAAGCTAGAGAGGATGAGCGTTACAAACCTGTTACTCAACACATGATGAGATCTGTTCATTGTGCAATTCCTTTGTAGTTCTGTACTGTTCAGAGAAAAAAATCTCAAATGTGCTAGCCTGTGGGATCGAATTTGGCTCCTAAATCCTTTTGGGCACCTCGGACCCTGGTTTACCTGGCATTTCCCATTCCTTATAAAGATTCTATGCAGCAGCAAGTTCCAGCTGTGCAGCTAGACTGTGGTGATTAGAGAGTCTGTCCCATGTTTTTCTGATTCTTCATTAAGGGCTCCTTTTCCCTGCTGATGGTGCTGGATCTTGCGCACTATTGACAAGTTACTGCCCTCTCGTGTTACCACACCTGTGCAATTCTTTCGTATGCTTTGGGTTTGCTGTGGCTGTGTGGTGTTGTGGACACGCTGGAGGGAAGGGATGGCATCCAGAGGGACCTCGACAGGCTGGAGAGGTGGGCCTGTGAGAACCTCATGAAGTTCAACAAGGCCAAGTGCAAGGTCCTGCACGTGGGTCGGGGCAATCTCAAGCACAAGTACAGGCTGGGCAGAGAATGGATCGAGAGCAGCCCTGAGGAAAAGGACTTGGGAGTGCTGGTGGATGAGAAGCTCAACATGAGCCGGCAATGTGCGCTGGCAGCCCAGAAAGCAAATCGTATCCTGGGCTGTATCAAAAGGAGTGTGGTCAGCAGGTTGAGGGAAGTGATTCTGCCCCTCTGCTCTGCTCTTGTGAGACCCCACCTGGAATACTGTGTTCAGCTCTGGAGTCCCCAACACAAGAAGGACATGGAGCTGCTGGAGCGAGTCCAGAGGAGGGCCACGAAGATGATCCGAGGGCTGGAACACCTCTGCTGTGAAGACAGGCTGAGAGAGTTGGGGCTGTTCAGCCTGGAGAAGAGAAGGCTCCGGGCTGATCTTATAGCAGCCTTCCAGTACTTAAAGGGCACCTACAGGAAAGCTGGAGAGGGACTTTTTCGAAGGGTGTGTAGTGATAGGACAAGGGGCAATGGCTTTAAACTGAAAGAGGGCAGATTTAGATTAGATATAAGGAAGAAATTTTTCACTCTGAGGGTGGTGAGATACTGGACCAGGTTGCCAGAGAAGCTGTGGCTGCCCCATCCCTGGATGTTCAAGGCCAGTTGGATGAGGCTTTGGGCAACTTGGTGTAGTGGAGGGTTTCCCTGCCCATGGCAGGGGGGGTGTAACTAGATGATCTTTGAGGTCCCTTCCAACCCAAACCATTCTGTGATTCTGTGATAAATAGAATCATATGATTCTATGATTCTATTTATCTATATGTGACAACACAGCTTTACTTTCCCAGCCTTAATGTGTTACATTCCATACTGATTGCTTTCTCTAGTGCCTTCCAGTTCATCAGCAAAGTATCCTTTTAAAAATAGCAAAGATTGGAGCTGCTTTGAAAGGATTTTTATTGCTAGTGTGTTTTTGGTTTTTACTCATACCGTTTTTAATTTGAGAGAGAAGCTTTGGTCTACCTTGCTTATGTGCTCCTCGTGTGTTCAAGTAACTGAGCTGGGAGTTCACAACAACTTACACTTAAACCTTATCCAAAAGCAAGATAAAAGATAGCATGCACGTGGTCTTGTTACAAAATTGTCTTTCAAAATCTGACATGTTTTATATAAAAATTGCTTTATTTTGCACTTTTCCAGGATCACTTTTATAAGACTTGCCTGTTCTGTGACAATCGTTTATGTCTTTCCCTTATTTTAGTGATCTTAAACAATCATTAATTAACTATTTTCTCTCTCCCTCCATTAGGTAGGCAAAACAAAATTATACTGCAGGCATTTTATAGTGCCAGTATATGACAGGGCCCACCTAAGGCCAGCTGCTTTCTTGTGGGGCCTCACTCCGTGATGGTGTGTTTTGCTTTTAAATTACAGTAGTAAGGGGAGAAGACGACTTACGTATTCATTTGTTCTTTTCTCTGTTTTAAACAGAACTTGGGAAACGGTGAAGCGTACTGGCAACAAAAAGGGCATTTCAGCTGATGGTAAGACATTGGTGATTTTTTTTTTGTTTACATTTTTTCCTGTGAAAGTTCTCCTGATAAACTCACAGTGCAGGGCAGAGCTGATCTGTTTCTGACTGAATGAGGATGCAGAACAAATAGCTCAGCAGAGCTCGCTGTACCCCCAAGCCGGTGAGCACTAATGAAATGCTAACTTTCAGTGCTTAAGAATCAGAACCTTCCTGGCAGGCAGGAGTGTTTTCCCAAGGTCATCCTATTCACTTTAGAACACTGGAGCAATTTCAAAGACATGATGGGTGCCCTGGTACAGATTAGCTCACAGACTGATGAATTGGCTCTGCTGTTAGGGCCTAGGGATGCAGTTCTCCTTGGGCAAAAGAGGGACATGATTAAGCTGTGAAAGGAGTGTAGGAGGAGGTTCCATACAATGGCTTCCAAGCAGCCTCTGCAGGCAAGAGAGCCCTTCTGTTAGATATTGGTGGGCTAAGGCTCCATCTTGCTTGGTACGTGTGCTGGGGTAAAGATCCCGTTCTGGGCTTTTATCTCCTCCCATGCATGATAAAAGGAGCTTAAATTCATCCTTCAGGATTCTGGAGCAGGCACCTGAACATTTAATGCTCAGAGTACTTGGGTTCCTTTCCAGATCTAGCACTAAATACGTACTCTCTGCTGTACTCACATTCTACATACTCGTGTCTCCCATGGCTATTTGTAGGTGTAGCAGTGATAGCGGTACTACAGAGAACTCTCCACTACGACTGCATTGTCCTAGTGAAACAGTTCAGGCCGCCAGTTAACGGCTACTGCTTGGAATTTCCTGCAGGTAAGTGACTGAAACATTCAGATGAGTCACATAAAGCTGACTCCAAGGTGTGCTTGGAGTGTCAATCTTAATGAAGTCACTCTAACCAGAAAACCATGGTGACATCCTGTAGCTCAGTGTGCTCTTCAAAAATGGGAGTATTTGATAATGAGGAATGCAAGATAAACATCATTCATTTTACCAGATTGGAGGTATTTTGCATAGTAGCCCATGAGTAGAATATGGCATTTCCCTCCACTCCTCCTTTATGTAAGAGCTGAAGCATTTGGCTTTTTTTCACTCCTGAGAACATTAAAGCTGTTTCCTGAGAAGGTAACATGCTCCTGCAGATAATCAGTTGAAGACGTGGGCAGCAGCATGATGGATTCTGGAACTGGAATCCTTCCTAACGCCTCAGTTTATCCCTCTGTAAAAATAGGATAGTGAGGATGTTTCTCCTCTTCTGTAAAGCTGGATTAGATGTCAGGATGGGTCTTGGGGGTAAGTGCTAACTTTTAAATTTTTCATATGTGTTATTTATCTCACAGGCCTCATTGAGGAAAATGAGACAGCAGAACACGCTGCCTTGCGAGAGCTGGAGGAAGAAACTGGGTACAAGGGGGAAGTCGTTGAATGTACTCCAGGTCTTTGCCTTTTTTTTATTTGTCCAAAGCTAATTCTGTCTTTGATGGGTTCTAAACGTCTAAAATGCTCTAAGCCAAGCGAAAAATCCATGCAGAAAAATCTCCGCAGATTAGCAGAGAGCAGTAGTACCCCGTGGCTGTACCAAGGAGACTTTGGTCCTTGACGAGCCAGTGGCTGAACTCCCGTTAAACATACGGGACTAAAGTAACAGTTTGGTGTCTATAAGGGAAAACTTTGCTGTCAAGATCCTTTACACAAACCCCAATTATTCAAGCTGCGATTTGGCATTTTAGTCTAAAGGTCTAAATTGCTGGACTTAATGCAAACAACATCCATAAGAACAACTTAGGGAGAAAACAATCACTGCGTGGTGCAGTCTGAGCGGAGGTCACCCTCATGCCAGCTGCGGAGAGGGGACAGTACTCAGGTTCTCCAACCAGAAAGAAGGAAGGAGAGAATAATTGGTGTAAATCCATGGATCCTTTGGAATGCGATTGTTCCCAATCTGATGCTTCGCACATAAAGCAAAATGAAGGCAAAATGAGGATCATAAATAAAACTGGAGAAGGTAGGTAGAAAGGTGAGGCAAGTTTCACATGATTTCAAGCAAATGCCATTACAGTTACAACTTGGGTACAGCTGAGCTGGGCACTGAGCGAGATGGAGAGAGGTGACAGCAAAATGAGACTTTCATAGGCTGAGGAAGTCTATGATGGAATTACAATTTTTAGAGTTTAATCTTCAGACTACGGAATGGAAAGTGAACCTAGCTGCTGAAAGCAAGTTTTACAAGTAATCTGTAAAAGAGCTGAGAGTTACAGAAGCATTACTTTTAAGAACATGTGAAAACAAACTCTTTACAACTCTTCCAGCGTGAACGTCTGCCAAACATATGTCCTCCTGTGGTATCAGATATATTTCTGTGAGTTTTTGTTAAAACATCAAGGTCCCTGACTTCTGCTTTTGAAAAATTAACCTCCTCGTGTGCTTGTTGGCAGCTCTCTACTTGGACCCAGGTTTGTCAAACAGCACAACGCACATTGTGAGCGTCACCATTAACGGAGATGAGGCTGAGAATACAAGACCTAAGCAAAAACTTGGTGAGTTTTGTACCATTTATTTGAAAATTCTGAGAAGATAACAAAACAATGAGTTTAAACGAACTGCCCCTACCACTGCAGCTCTTCTATCCCAGCTGATTTAGATGCTGTACGTCTGTCAAATCGTATCCCGCAGTCTAGATCAGCAGCGCTGTGTTTGCTTGCCGACTTCACTGGGCAGGCCTGGGTGTTGTCAGGTGTCGGCACACCCAGGATGAGAAATTTAGGTGCCAAACTCCAGTGAGGGCCACAAGCACTTGTGAACCCAGATATTCCTCTCAGTTGGTGGCTTGACCCTGGAAGTAACTCCTGATCAGTCAGCTATTGAAACGCTTTTTTTAGTTGTAAACCCTAGTGTATTTCAAAAATTTGTAACTTGCTTTTTTTTTTGTTTTTTTTTAATTGCAGATGATGGAGGTATGTTACGTAGCCATGCTCACAGTGGCAGTAAGGTCAAGTGTGGTCTTTGTATGGCAAGTTTTACTTAGAAAATGTCAGTTAAAACTGGTTTTTATTTGGGTTTGGTTAATCTCCTGACCCTAATCAAACATGCATGAGATTGGCTTTGGCCTAGACATGAAAATTCCTGTGGGGCATTATTGCATCAAGTATCTTCAAGTATTGCAATTACAGCACCAGTATCTCAGGAAGTACAAATTTCTGAAAGCACAACAGCTGTAGATCAAGCCCCGAAGACAACAAATTCAGATAGACGGGAAACATAAACCAACTCAAATTCATCAAGAACAAACCCTTTGTCTTTGTGCTGGTTTGATCTTCAGTCAAACATATCTGCAATCCATTACTGTACTAGGATAAGCCCAACCCAAGTCCACTTCAGCAGTATATTGTCCATTCTCAGAAGGGAGAAGGTCTCCTTTTAGAAGGATTCTTATCCTCCACAGCTGTCAGCTGCACTGTTTTTCCCAGCTTTTTCCCCATTTTTTTTTCTCACCAACCTGTTTTTTAATGACCCCAGTCACTGCCTTCCCCCCTTTAATCAGCCTTTTTGTGACGTATGAAGCTTTTGGATGGTGATGAGCATTAAGCCAGTTTGTGTCCCCTTCCAAGTTGCAAGAAGCAGGGCACTGGGGTAGGCTTCCCCGACTGTTCGCTAAATTAGAGCTGTGTAACATTTTTTCCTTCTCTTCTAGAATTTGTGGAAGTTATTTCACTTCCAAAGAATGACCTACTGCAAAGAATTGATGGTAAGAGCTTTCCGGCCCTTTCAATGCGCTAACGTGAGCTTCAAGAAACCTTTAGCTTCTCTTCTCATAGCTCCTCGTGGCATTTCTCATCCTACAATATTGTATCTTAAACAAAAAGCTGTGAGAGACTTGGCCACGTAACAGAGTTAGTGATGGTATCAGGTGTTAGCGTTAAGAATTCATGTCTGGAACGCTATACGTAGTTTTAGTTAAGGTCTTAAAATTTATGTAGAGGAAAAGTTTTAACAGCATCTCATACTTTCCTTTTTTTTCTTCCCGCCCCTTCCAGAACTCGTAGCAGAACAACATATTGCAGTGGATGCCAGGGTGTATAGTTACGCACTGGCCCTGAAGCACGCAGCAGAAAAACCGCTCCAAGTTCCTTTTATGAAGTTCTAAAACAGACAATAAGAAATTGAGTTGAAAACTGCTCAATTCAGATGGCTTAGAAGTGTAACTCTTCCTGTAATAAAGGTCCTTTGCTTTACTTGTAGAGCAAAAAAACAAAGTGTTTGTAGGAATGATTCTGACATTTTTATCTGGAATTCTGTAACTGACAAAAAGCGTTTCTTCTGACCGCTCAGTCTACCAAACCTTGACACAATAATCGTAATAAAATGCTGTTTAATTTTCCACATGGCTCATTTCTCACTCTGTTCACCATCGCACTGATGTTTCAGTATAAGGAGGATTCTCCCGTAACTGTAGTGGTGGTGTAAGCCCCCTTGCTCACAAGGAGGAAGACAGCAGGAAGAGCGCGCTTCTCTCTTGCCCATGTGCGCCACGGCACCGTTATTTCTGCAACCGTAGGTGATTCTCTGCGGTAGGAGCAGCGCCAGCTGCACCGGGACACACACAGTGTGCCGGCTCCGGCGTGTGAAGCTGCAGCTTCAGGAACTGCCTTTTCTCATTTAGACCTGAAGGTGTTGCTCCCTCCTCCCAGCCCTCACTAAACAATCCGGAAAGAAAGAATGGATTGGTTTGATGTAAGAAACTAATGATTCTGACAGCAATGATGCCAGTAACAACAGAACATCCACCCCTGCCCACCAGAGTGGTGGGATGCTGCTCAAGGTATGTGTGGGCTGGCTTACAGGCTCCGAGATGGCAGCAGAACCTCACAGTTCTCCCTCTCCCTAGGGCACATCCCCATACCTAGGTGGCACCTTGTCGTATCACTCTGAGGCAGATGTTTGGCCAAACCTTCAGCGTGTATGCAGTCAGCTGCTTCTGCTGATGGAAACAGCCACCGATGCTTAAAGGTCAGGATCTAAGAGTTGTCCTCAACAGATGTTAGTATCAAAGTCTTGCCTCTGAAATACATTTGGATGAGCATCCGTAATGAGAAAGACTTTCCTGGCTTAGAAATGAAGCACAAAGACTTGGTTAAGATTTTCTTCACAAACAACACAAAGTTACTTTCAAGTCAGGTGGGAGAGAAGACAGAAGAGATCAAAATTTGAAATCAAAGGAAAAAAGTCATTAACTACAGCTGAGCAGAACAGCTCAATGATTTTAAGGGGAGGAATCTTGAGGTGTTGTGGATTTTTTTTAATTAAGGCTGCTAAAAACTAATCAATATTATATTCTAGAAAGGATGGAGATGAAAAAGGGAGCCGTCCAGACCTACCTCACTAACAAAGCATGTTAGAAATGATCAAAAACTGCACATGAATTACATCTCGCACAGAGAAGACACAGGAGAGAGCTTAATTAAATAAGTTTATTGTCTAACGTTTACAGTTGTTACATTGCCGCCGTAAAGCGCGACAACATGGATAAGTTGTCGGCAGGAACGCCTCGCTCCCTGCCTTTCCCTTCTATGAACACCCACTGAGGAACCAGGCCTTGTTCTTGAGGCTCACGAAAGCAAAGTGGACATGGAGTTGTTCAGTGGCACAGTTTTCACAAGTACGTGTTGAAACAAAACTACTGGGCTGACTGGCTAGCACGACAGCAGCGACCACGCTGTCTCACAGGAGGCCCAGGGCCAGAAACTGATGTGCCCCAGGCCGGGCCACGCAGCAAATCCACCACAGGACCAGTTCACAGGTGAGATGAGTATCAGTCTCCGGTAAAATGTTTTGCTCATCCACTCTGGGAGCTAAGAGAAAAGTGCTTGGCTGAAGACAGTGCAAAGGAACAGGGAGTTCTGAGTTCAATGATGGGGAAATGCAAGTTAAAAAAAGTATAAAAAATTAATGTAGAATACAGGCTACAAATAAATTTTGTCCAGAACACTGGCACGTGGCAATCTGAACTCAGATTTTTTTTTTCTTTCCTATTAAGGACAGGGAAATAAATTTCACATTTTAATGCTGTGTGCAGAAACATTTACCGATAGCAAACTGATACACTTGACCATCTCACCAGTGTTTGAACAGCAAGGTGGATGAACTGGTTTCCAGCATTACAGGCAACACTAGATAATACTTCAACAAGAGAATGTAAACTTGATTGTTAAGGCAGCTGGCACTAACGCTGCACACAGGCATTGCTCGGCGCCCATTGCAGTACTGGGACACGTAGCACTTCGAAACGAGTAAAAAGAAAAGAGCATTATTGGACTAAATGACGCATGTTGTCAAAACACCTTCCCTTTCACACCAACCATGAAATATTTGGACATCTAGAAAAATAATGCACCTACTCCTCCAACTTCAGCCTGTTCTTTTACAAATATTTCAAAATACTGATAAATAATAGTGACTGCGAGCAGAATGCCAGTGCCGGACCCAATGGCTCCCAGAAAGTCAGCCAGTACTGAGAGGGCACCAATGCACAAACCACCAAATGCAGCTGCCGTAGGGATATACCTGTGCCAATGGAAAAAAAAGTATTTGTAAGCATGAATTTTCATCCAAGGATTCCAACAACACACTACTACTAAAACAACCAATTAGAATAATATTATAATAATAGAGGAGGGCCACGAAGATGATCCGAGGGCTGGAGCACCTCTCCTATGAAGACAGGCTGAGAGAGTTGGGGCTGTTCAGCCTGGAGAAGAGAAGGCTCTGGGCTGATCTTATTGCAGCCTTCCAGTACTTAAAGGGCACCTACAGGAAAGCTGGAGAGGGACTTTTTACAAGGGCGTGTAGTGATAGGACAAGGGGCAATGGCTTTAAACTGAAAGAGGGGACATTTAGGTTGGATATAAGGAAGAAATTCTTCACTGTGAGGGTGGTGAGGCAGTGGAACAGGTTGCCCAGAGAAGCTGTGGATGCTCCATCCCTGGAAGTGTTCAGAGCCAGGTTGGATGAGGCTTTGGGCAACCTGGTGTAGTGGAGGCTTTCCCTGCCCATGGCAGGGGGGTTGGAACTAGATGATCTTTGAGGTCCCTTCCAACCCAAACCATTCTGTGATTCTATGATTCAAATTCCCTCATTATGCCACTTACACAAAAGACACTACAGGTTAATCTCCCACCTACTGCTATAAACATCTTTTCCATTACTAGGAAAGGCAACAGCTCAAGGGGAAGAATCCTAACATTTGCAGCAGAAACGAGTCTCAGATTTTTCGGAGAATATCTGCTCTAGTTGACGCCTCCCCAGTGGTCTCAACCACCCAGCTGGAAGTGAGCGTTTCCTTACCTGTTAAGCTCGTGCACCATTGAAGTATCCCTGTGGCCTCTCATCACCATTTGCTGTTCTTTGAGTTGCTTGGCAACCTGCAAAAATGTAATTTTATGAAACGGCTGCAGTGTTTCATACTCACCTGACGTTTAGTCAGAGTAGTAACTGATCAGTTAGGAACCAGTCAGTTCTAAATTAGAGGCAGCACTTGAAAACGTACAGATATTTATCAGGACACCTACATCTTTTGCTGATGAGCCAGACACCTCGATCCAAGTCTTCGAGAAGAATGCACAGGACCCCAACATAAATATTATATAAACTATTACGTGGACAGGATCCTCAAATATTGCACCCATGGATTCAGGAGGGGACAGGTAGTAGCAAAGGCCACCAACAGGGTAAGAGCGAGCGGGGCCACCGCCACTGACGTCCTATGAGAGGGGAAGAAAAGGGCAATTAGTTATTTCTCCAAGATCTCTCACATTCCTGTCTTACATTTACAGAGGAATCCCTCTTCAAGTTTAAAATGGCTTTTATACACAAATGTTAAAAAGTAAATATTCCAGTTTCCTGCTGGTTAAACACCAAAGCTTCACAATAAAGTAATGCAGATGAATAATTTCATGCGGTTAAAAAAGTGGTAGAACACTTACTGCCCACTGTCCCAGTAAGTTCACCAAGAAGTTGCCGCTAAAACGAACAGACAACATCTGGGAAATGACATAGAGGTTCGAAACTAAGGCAGACTGCAGAATGATGGGAATGTTGGAGGTGTAAAAGAGCTTGATAGGATAGCTGCTGTACTGCCCCCGGTATCGCGCAGACTTGATCGGTAAATCGACGCGAAATCCCTGTGGAAAAGAACACAAATGCACCAAGTTTGTTTCCAGTATAGGTGTTCCCAGCGTGCCTAAAAGCTACTCCTGACCATGCAGTTCTTGCTAGACAAACGAGGAGTGCAAGGCCTGAGACAGTAAGACCCAAAGGCTTCAGCTACAGTCTGGATTACAAATTTAAGGATTTATAGAATCATAGAATCATAGAATGG